GGCAGGTATTAGGTGCCATGAGGGTTACATATGCTGAAATTACTGGCATCAGTCAGTTGGTTGGCTTGGTGTTTTTAATCTTGAAAAGGAAGAGGAGGGAGGAATTGAAATATATGGATTAATCTGAACGTCCAATGCCTGTGTTTGGCCAGTGAGGAAAGTTTTCTCCAGATTTTGGGTGCAAGTTGTATGTTTTTAGGAGTAATACATTTGATAGGAAATAAGGGCACTTCAAGCACTTCTCTTCTCACACAGTATGAATGGGAAGAAAAAAGAGATTTGTTAGTAGTTGAGGGTTTTGAGGGAGGGTGGTGGGGGAGGGATGAAGAAGGGAAAGGTTTGCAAATGCATGTGACACTGAGCTAGAGGGGTCACTGCTGCCTGCAGATGCCACAACCCTATTTGTGCACTTGAGCATGGCCTGAGGGAGCATTGGCCTGATGAATGCAGAGAGACATGCGTTTTGATTGAGGTAATTTCCCTCAGATGGGTCTCGCCATCCCATGAATCAAAACCTGTCAGCAAGAAGCTAAAGATGAAGTGAAGTTTATTGTACATTTGTTTCCATGCGACACCGTCACGCTAGAAGGGTCAAGTGAGAGAGATCATTAGAACTGTGTTGATTTACTGGGCCCAGTTGTGCACTTTCCCTGCAGGGAAAGGAGGAAAGAGGCTTTAGGAGAGGAGCTGAGGGGTGCTGGGTGGGGAGGGAAGGGCAGGCTATTTGTGGAGGGTGGGGGAAAGATGTATTGTTTTGTTTTGTTTTTCCCCTGGAACCCCTGATGGGTTTGGAACAGATGCTCTGCCTCTATCTCCAGAAGAGGCACCAAAGATCTTATTAAAAAGGGAAACTACTAAAAAGGGTGTGGTGGCTCATGCTTGTAATCCCAGCATTTTGGGAGGCAAGTTGAAAGGATTGCTTGAGTCCAGGTGTTTGAAACCAGCCTGGGCAAAGTAGCAAGACCCTGTCTCTATTAAAAAAAAAAAAATTAGCCAGGCATGGCACATACCTGTAGCCCTAGCAACTCAGGAGACTAAGGAGGAGGATCACCTGAGCCCAGGAATTCAACATTACAGTGAACCGTGATCATGCTACTGCACTCCAGCATGGCAACAGAGTAAGGCCCTGTCTCAAAAAGGTGGGAGCGAGGCAGGTGACTCATGGAGAAATCAAACTTCCCATTTCAGGATATGGCAAAATAAAGAACCAGGAGGAGCAAAACTGGCCTGCACATTCCAAGTGGACATACACTGGGGGAGGGCATGGCCTCAGGGTTTGTGCTGATATAATGTCTGGGTTTCAAAAGTCATACCTCCTCTGTGATTTGCACTTGCTGGAGTACTGCTAGTGCTAAATTGAATGGAAAAAAGTTTATAATGATAGTTTAACAAGATACTGGTCTAGTCTAGTCTTGCCTCTCCACAAGAAGGTATGTTCCATTTATTTTCCTGCAAACTGTTTCCTCCTTGGCCAGGAGACTTGGTGAAGAATATATCAACTAGAGCATTCTAGAGGTTCTCAGTTTGAAATCTCCATTTATATCCTTTATTCACTTTATCTTAGTGGTAGTAGACAAAAATCAAGAAAACTTTCTCCCTTGACTTTGTTAGTAAAAAATTTGGTGGGGCTTAATGTTTGTTGGAAACCTTCTGTATTCTTTTATTTTTGAGATGGAGTTTGCTTTTGTTGCCCAGGCTGGAGTGCAGTGGCACGATCTTGGCTCGGTGCAACCTCTGCCACCCAGGTTCAAGCAATTCTCCTGCCTCAGCCTCCTGAGTAGCTGGGATTACAGGCATGCACTGTCACTCCCGGCTATTTTGTATTTTTAGTGGAGATGGGGTTTCTCCATGTTGGTTAGGCTGATCTCGAACTCCTGACCTCAGGTGATCTGCCCACCTCTGCCTCCCAAAGTGCTGGTATTACAGGCATGAGCCACCGAGTCTGGCCACTGATTCTTTTATTACATCTTAACAAATGGAATAGCCAATTAGGCAAAATTAGAAACAGATTCAGCTGCCAGGCGTGGTAGCTCATGCCTGTAATCCCAGCACTTTGGGAGGCTGAGGCGGGTGGATCATGAGGTTAAGAGATGGAGACCAGCCTGGCCAGTGTGGCGAAACCGTCTCTACAAAAAATATAAAAATTAGCTGGGCATGGTGGCACACTCCTGTAGTCCCAGCTACTCAGGAGGCTGAGGCAGGAGAATCACTTAAACCTGGAAGGCAGAGGTTGTAGTGAGCCGAGATCATGCCACTGCACTCCAGCTTGGTGACAGAGTGAGACTCCATCTCAAAATAAAAAATAAGAAACAGATTCAGCTGAGAAAAACTTTTAATACAAGATTACTAACTGGAGTTCTTTCCCTAGGTCCTTAGTTACTTATAAATTGTTAGGTATGTGGTATGATAGAAACAAGAAGAGGTTCTAGTATTGTTGACCTGATTATTTGAGTGAAGTGATTAAAATTTATCAAATTGGCCGGGCACGGTGGCTCAAGCCTGTAATCCCAGCACTTTGGGAGGCCGAGGCGGGTGGATCACGAGGTCAAGAGA